ATATATATATTTCGGAGCTTCGCGAGTTTTGCTGTCCAAACGCCTTTGCTTCAATCACTAAGTTCCAGTTGAATGTTTTATGAATATCAGGTAATGCGAATGATTCATTCATTCCGTTATGTTTGTAGAGGAACGTTTGACCAAGAAGTGTTCGCTGTTATGTTGGATATATCGTGTACTGGCCACTTCACCGAAACGCCAACTTTCTCTGAACGATATATATCATCGCTTTCTTATTCTAGTATGCACATAATTTTGCATGGTAATAAGTGTGGAAGATATAGGTCTTTTTTTTCTTTTAAATATCCAAGGATACGAAAATGTCAAAGAATTACACTATTATTTTCATAGCTATAGTTATAAGGATGGAGTTGACATTTGAGGATGTTTGGAAATGAGCATTTCCTACGGCATGATCTATTAATGGAAAGTGCTATAATTCCATGTAAATGACTTCAGAAATTTTTGTAGAATTCTAACCATGGAAAACTGTTACCAAATTGGAAATTTTCTGTTGGAGAAACACTGCTCACTTCTAAGTGCTTCGTGTACAAGGTCGGTTGTGTAAACAGATAGGATTCAGAAGGAAATGAATTTGCAATTTTTGTTCGTTTCTTCGGGCGTCTCAAGAGGGAAAAAGTTTGATTTTGATATGAACTAAATCCCTCAAATCACAACTTTAGTTTCCGATAACCGATTTTTGATGTAAGAGATTTAGGAAATCGGAATGCCGGCTAAATATCCTTGTGTTCAAACTGACGAAATTTGATATGAAAAAGGCTTAGTTTATAAGTTCCTTGCTTCTATTTTCCAGCATTCTCTGTGGTCAATTAATGCTGACTTTGCATTAAAATACGAACGTGCTGCTCTTGATCAGGGGCTTTCGCATCGCTGTCCACCTCCTTTTGCTTCAACATATGAAGTCCTTGATACTTCCAGAAAAAGTTTGTTTAGATTTCAAATTTTTATGGAACTGCTGGTTCTCTTGATTACCTACAAGATGTATTGCAATTTCTGGATAAAATTTTGCGACGTATCTTTGCAGTTATTGAAAGGGCTGATTTTTTTCATTTTTATTCATATAAAGTTGTCATTTTAGATCTCCCAGTGATGTGCTGAAGAATTTTCAACCGGCATGAATAGATAAACTACGAAGCATGGATAATGATTGCTGAGCAGTTTAAGAGAATGAACAAAACTTTAAAAACTGGTTGCTATTTTTAGGGTGCCTTGTTATTGTGCACAGGGAAGATTGTCTTTGATGTGAACTCGTCAGTCATGATTTTTTTTTTTCGCAAACTACTAATGTAGTTTATAGAAGATTGGAAACTCTTGGTTTTGTTTTATTTGATTTCTTTTTTGCTGTGCACATTATTAAAATATGTTAGGAACGTTTGGCTTTCTCCTAGTTCACTTTCTTCGTTGTTTCCATACTACTTAGATGATTTTAATAGTTTTTTATGATTGATTTTCTGACCTTGGTAGATTATTAGTTACGAACACAATTTGATTAGTATACTTTGCAAATGCCATGAAAACCATGTTTGAGCCGTATTAAATCTCATTTACCAGGCGTATTAAACAATTATCGCTCTCGTTGGATGAGTTTTCATGGTTCACTTTGTATTGGCTTCTTACTCTCATGTTTTCCAGCTGTAATTTCATATGTTTTATGGTGCTTAATTTTGATTTTTCCACTTCAACCAGCGTAATCATTAATTGAGAAATATTCTCCTTATTAGAAAAATGTCATGTTTTGAAGGAACAAAGAGTATGCAATTTCGAAACTTATCAAAATTTACATCGCTCTAGCACGCGCTATATTTATTTTCTCTATTCTGTTTTGACCTATCATTTCTTGCATGTTTTGCCTTTTCGCATTTGTCACATTTACTATTGTTGTCCATCAAGCGGGGTGTGTAAAAAAATCGATTACTTGAATTTTTAATTTGGTAATGAAGTTTCTGAGCCATAAGCATACGGTACAGTGCCAATGGAATGTTCATCCGTAACTGAAAGCTACAATAGAATGGAATTGATAATAGCTACTAAAGATTCAATTTTTATTTTGTAGGGTGTTTCGAAAATTTAATACCTCAGATGCATAAAAGATCCTGCTTTTTCGAAATAAGTGGTTGTACAGAAGGTTTTATTAAGTTTGAAAAGTGAACTGACAAAGCAGATAGGCCAAATTCTGTTGTGATTGGATGCTGAAATTGTAATTTTTATCGCCAAGCATATCGAAGCAAAATTTTGCATTTCTAATATGGCTGTTTGTGTAACTTTGAGATTGCCTACGAACAGGACAGAGTCACTTACTTTGAGACAGTCAAGCAATCATCGAGGGATCGTCATTTCTGCAAATTAATTCTACTACTCTAAAGATAGTGAAATGCATGGGATAAATTTATAACGTACGGATAGGAAGTAGTCACTGTTAAATAGTGTGAACACAAAAAACAAAATCTCTGATATTAACTGATTGGTTGTGACCGAATACCATACGTTTTCTCCTTTTTTCCAATTTTTTTATCAGATATACAAAAAATTCACTTCTGGTCGTATTTCGAATTCTTTCTATTGCAATAATTTATTAGGTGATATGATATTTGCTTAAGATACCGCTTCTTTTCGTTTCAGCGATGGAAGTTAAAGAGGAAACTGATTCGGAATGAATCAAAACTTGATCTTCCCATCAAATTTCCGGCCCCCAATGGTAATCAGTTCGAGCAGTTCCACTAGCAACAAATTGTTAACATTAGTTGTTGAACATTCTTCATTTATATCCATTCTTTGTTCTTCAAATAATTTCGAATTTTTCAGCGATGATTGAAAGGTGAGAAATTTCTCTGTCATTGAGCTTTTTAGAATGTCGTATGTGTTGACATCATCGAATTTTGCATTATTGTGATTTCGGTTGTTAAATTATTTCATTTATTGATTTTCTCGTGGAAAAGCATATGTTACTCAACTTTATTATTCTATTAAGACAGAAAGAATTTATTTGTAATAAATTTAAAAATGACAAGTTGAAGTTATTAAGTGTCGCAGATACATGGTCATTGAAAGTTTTTAATAAAAAAATTGATCGATAATTTTCTTTACAATCATTCGTTGAAATAAAGGTGAAATTTGAATGAGGGAAAAGCGCAAAAGTTCAAAAACATACAATCACAACCGATTAGTTGTAAAGTGTTGCTTGAAAGTAGCTAAATAATCATTGTTGATTGTCATCGAGCTAGTAAGGCTTGCAGATGAGTTGCAGCTGCACCTGGTGTATTGCTGTTACTACTGAAGCTGAGATAGCTTCTTCACTTTTCTGTACTTTGTCTTCAGTCTAGCTTGAGACTGAGTTACTACTACACTGCTGAAATATTGAACGATTTAGCTCGAGCTCTTCCTTCCATCATTTCTCTTTACCATTGTACATCCAACTCCACTCATTGTTTATATTAGATATTAAATGATATATATGGCTGGGTCAGATTACCAGTTAAGAACATTCGTCACAGACTTCGTCGAAATAATACTAAAATAAGTTTTAAATACTATCCGGTTCACTGGAAGCTCTTTTCAAGATACTCGCCGGGTTAGTAATCACTCCAGAATCTTCCAGTCATTGTAGTTGTGAAGTGATATTTCCTGCAGCCAGCGGTTTAAATAAATGTATTCTGCAATTCGAATTGCATTAATTTATTCATTTTTTTTTTTTTTGAAATATTTTCATCTCATAATTTCATTGTAAGATAAATTCTGCGACTATTAAGTTAACGCGAACTTTTTTTCACTTTTATCACAATTTCCGAAGAATAATGCTATTTCCACTCTCATATTCTCCAAAAGGAGATAGTAATCCATTGTGTATTCGCATATTCGCATTTTGACTGTTATAAAATCAGTTAAAAATACAATCTGTTTCTTTTTTTTTTTGAATAATTCATAAAGTTCACCCCTGGGTAGTCATCTTTGTTTAACCTGATGTTTCCTCATTTTTGATATTTCTCAGACGTGGTTGCTCCTGAGCGTAAATGACTGTACAGAAGTAAATACCATCAATTTATTTAAATCTTAGATCCTTGGATAATTCTATCAAAGTTACTTTTCGGTATTTTTAAGATAATAAAATTGAGAAGTTTAGAAGAATAAGATTGGCAATTAAAAACGATTTGATGGCCAGTGTTATAGGCACTGTCTGCATTTTTGCAAATTGTTCCCCATTGCATAATAACAAGTTAATGTGTAACAATTCATATAGATGTCTCAGTATGAACCATGGTACCTGCGTCGAAGATGTCCAATATTTTTCTACTCGTGTATACCTGTTTATGTTGGCGTGTGGCCAGCAAGGTTAATAGCATATCTTTTCTAAGACTACAAAAAAACGTTCTTAAAAAAAGAATTCAATAAAAGAAATGGAATTTGAGAATATTATTTGCAAAAAGTCCAAAATATAAGCAATAGCTTGTCAAACTCTTCGAGCACTAAAATATTTCATTTAATTTTAAAGTCCACACTTAAAATTAGTTCGATTGATATTTAGTGCATATCTACTGCAGGAAATGTGTGGTTATCCTCAGTGCAATACTCTTTGCAATTGGTGTGATGATTTTGCTTGGTTTATTACTTACCTGTATTGCTGTTGAATGCTCTGTTATGTTAGTTATTTTTTAAATTGCTATTTGATTATATAATAAGATACAACTAGTAGCCAAACAAAAAAAAAATAAATAGCCGGACAATTGTCCACCATAGCATTTCTGTTTTAAAACAGCCGCGACAAATCTCACCAGCTATTTAAACACAGCATAAGAAAAGTCGATTGGTCCTTAATATCTAATTAGTGAATCTTTTGGTGATTGCATAAATGCAAGACGTATACAATAGATTGTTTATCATACCAGCCTTCAGGAAAAACTGGTTAATCCGTCGCCTGAATGCATGGTCCGTGATTTCGCAATAAAAAAGTGACACTGTCTCATTTACTTGAAGAAAACTTTAGGAACACATTCACACAGCAATAAATTGCACGAGTTAGATTTGTTGGTTGGAAGACATCAGTGAACTGAAATTAAAATGCTGAGTTTACATAAAAAAAAGTTTGCCGGTCAGTTTGTTTTTAAATGGGCTAAAATGTCATCGAAAACGTCAACTTTTTGTTCTCGCATCTTGTACAAGTGAAGTGCAAGATTTGAGGACAAGAAGAGATCCATCGTTATAAAATAGGAATTTTTTAAGCTAAAGCAAAAATAAAAGAGTAAATTTGCAGCGCTGGTGTTTTATTACCGATTGCGTTACTATTAATTATTGTCGGTACACTGATGCTTCATTGTGGCTGGGCAGCTCATTTACTCGATGAAGGAGGTGTTAACGATACACCGTAAGTAATCATTTTTTATGATCGGATTTTCTACTTCCCAGTAATTGATACTTAGAATGTTATTCTCTAACATTTACTTTTCATATACACTTCTTGATATTCATCTGTTATTTATGTTAAGACCGAAAGTTGTAACAAATGAAGAAAAAAATCCAAATCCTGATGAAATAGCATTGTTTGAAAGCGCCTATAAAGAACCAGTACCGGAGGTATGTTTGGATTTATGCAACAAAATGCTGAAAACATATTAAATTTGATTAAAATTTCTCAAAACAGTTTAAAAAGATACTGAAGATATTGATTTCGTTAAGTGAGGAGACAGTGATTTGACAAAGGAATGAATCCTCCAACGGATAGTTCAATGTGTAAAAAATCATCAGGAAAATTATGGTTTAAAAAAAAAAAAAAAAACGAATACTCTCCATAGCACTGACAATTTTTTTAAAAACAGTTTATTTTTGTGAACTTTTTCCAAGCACATTTGCAAACGATATTTGTGAATGCTTAGTTCAGTTATATTTCAACAAATTCTCTAATTTTTGATTAGTAATCAATTTGTGAATATTCCAGATTAGGCAAGGTTACTGGCAATTTGAAGATAAATTAGCATGGCAAACTGTTGCTAATCCATATCCAATACAGTAAGTTTCCGTCTCGTTATTTTATTCATAATTTCTTGAAATAGTTCAATGAAATTTGCCAAAAATAAATTAATGTAACAAATATTATTTTGTAGGCACACATTGAGAAATACGGTCGAACGTCCAGAATATTGAAGTGTGAACAATGCCAAACGTTCAAACTAACTTGTACGACAGGAACATAGCAATCGTAAAATTGAAGAGATTTCGTTGTTTATCATTTTCAATTTGAGAAATTTTTTCAATTTGCAATCAAAGCTGAAATTGCAACTCACCTTAATTTTTGTCTTCATAAAAAAATCTGCTTTCGTCTAATCACAACTAACTTTACAACAAGTATTTTGAATCAAATTTTACTTTATACGAGAAAATAATTGCCAAAATTTTTTATTTCAATAATTTAGTTTTTATCAAATTTCGGTAGATTTAAAAAACAGGTAATGATAGGTATGACCACGTATGGATACAAATTGATAAAATGTTTAGAGTTTTCTTTCCTACATTTCCACATCCTTTTTGTGTATAAGTTTTTCTTCTTCGATTAAACGTTGTTAGTTTGGATTGTAATTTAGGCCAAAGAGTAGTCTTTTTTTCTCCCTCTCTCTCTCAGAATGAATTGGTTTTGTTGTATGGCCATATCAACTCGTTCAAGGAAAACGAGACAAGTGCTCCTCAAAAATTTGGCCTCAATCTACAACTTTTATGAAATTGTCCACTTTCATGGGTCATATTTTTTACTTATTTCTGAATTGTCTCTTGTATCTAATGCAAAGATTTAGAGAGTATTTCAGTACTTCAGAATTTTTCTTTTTACTTATCCATTATCCTTGCAAGCATTCTCCTTCACAACATCTCACAGCTAAATCGAGATGATTTATGTATTTTTATTATTTGTCATCTGTATTTGCATAAATGAATGCATTCGAAACAATAGTTTATCACTAACTGATAAACTTAACCTATTTATAAACTCAATCAGTAATTTCTTAAAAGAGTAAAGAATAATTCAATTTTTTGATGGCGTTGAAGAAATGACGAAGCAAATTCCCCAAGAACAAATATGGATATCAGATATCTGTTTAAAACTGTCATTTTTAAATTTTAATTTAAAGGAGGAAAAGAGTTAAATGAAAACCACTATAAGCTTAGTTCAGCCGTCATCAAGCGCTATCCAGAAAGTGTAGGACTTCTTCTGTTTTACCGGAAATGGAGCAGTTGTAATGATCCGTTCTGGTTATCGCGGTAAATTCTTGAATAAACTTTCAAGTTGTTTGGTGCTAACATTCCAACTACTTGTAACAAACTATCTCATCGGTAGATTTTTTTTTTCTTACAAAATAGCTACTCACCCGGAGATGAAAGAAAGTGGCGGCATTGTAATAAGACAGTTGAATCACAGTGTGGAATGCCTGTTGTTTCGAAAAATTGAAATATTAGGAGAATTTTGCTACCTACAACTGTTCATTTTACAATGGTTGAAATTCGATATATCATTTCATTTCTTTTATCGCTGACCACTAATCTTTTCCATTCATTTCCTTCTCTAACATTCTTCCAGGAAAACTATGCTTCCAATCCTTTTTGAGCGGCATTTTATTGATGTAACTTAAATTAATGTGATGTCAAAGTGCTACCTAATTGTTAAAATACTACCTAAAAAGTATTATAAAGTGAAAGGATATTATGTTACGGAGAGATAAACAACTATTAGAATTACTTCTATGAATAAATTTTCTGGCAAAAATTGGAATATCCCGATCATTTCAACTTTTCGGTGTTTAATTTCGTCAATTTATGGTAACTTTTAGTAACTGCGTGAGCGCTGACAATATTGTTAAGATATATTACATATAAATATTGTCTCCTGTTTAACAGCTGTTAAACGATGTAAGGAGAATTGTCCATCTGTATTAGCATTTGTAACCAAAACTATTACTATCCGTATTTGCGCCTGACTGTTTGCGCCCTTTTACGTCGGCATTTGTACACGAGAAATTCGATGAACGATAGGATAATTACAATAATCTTCAGGATAGTAATAATCAATTGGTTTGATTAGATTTCAATGGAATGGAAGATTCGTTGCTTAGTTTTGCATAAATTTTTGAAAGACAGAATTTTAAGTTAATTTCACTCTACTGTAGATAGCTTACGGTAATAGCACTTTTTATTCAGTCTGAACATTTCAATTTCTTCTAGTAATTCAATTATTCGATTGGATTGATTAAATGCTAAAGTTAACATGTGATATCATCAAATGACGACATATAATACCACACTGTACAATTTCCCTACTTTCTGAGCAATGTTTTTAGTTGAAGTATGCTGTTTGTATGAAACAGTGATCTTGTGGAATTGATAAGATGAAGTGATAGGATAAATCTTTGATAAGATAAATTTTCCACAGAATCATGTCTATGAACACTCTACGTACAGAAGTGACAAGCTTTGTCGCGAATTTTTCTACCATTTGCTTTAATGTCCAACTTCTATTTAGTTGATGTCCATCGTGATCGAGATAAAAGAACTGTTATAGGTATCGGCAACTGATAGCATATTGAAGGCACGAGTAAAGCCATTAATCAGTTCATTGTGATTGATAGGATGATTATTTGTCCTTCGGGACATTGAACAGTTGCAAATTATTATTAGCCTTGGCAAGAGTAATCATCCTATGAAAGGAAAAGACGTATCGGTGCCAGTATCGAGAAGGACACACATGCCCAATTTTTGTCACGCACTTAGGTAAATGAATGTCAAATAGGGGGTAAAAAGAGCTTATTTATGAAGGAAGCATCACGAGTGACAAGTAAAAAAAAGTATATAGCTTTTAATAAATATAACTTTTTTATATATAACTTTTTATAAATATAGCTTTTTATATAGTTTTTTATATATAGTTTTTTTTATACATAGCCTTTATATAACTAATATATTAGTTTTTTTCTGCATAGTTTCTTCAAAGCTTACAATCAGTTCTTTAAACGTTTTTAAGGAAGGACTAATTTCTGATGGAAGCTAAATTTCTTTGTTACAAATTTTTTGCCTTTTTTTTAAAATTTTACTTTTTACTGTTTTCTTTACTACTCAGAGTAATAAAGAAATCAGTTTCAGTAATGCTTAAATTGTATTCTTGCAAAATATCTTCCAAATTAAGTCTTTTAAAGATAATTGCACTTACGAAAAATTTTCTATTCCATTAAAGTTTCTCAATTTTTCTTATATTTTCCAATATATCTATAATTTTATCAATTTTAACCAACTGATATTTGGAAATATATGTGTTTACCGTAATTCCCAGACTATGAACACTAATTAATATTGGTGTTAAACCGAAATTCTTCTGAGATTAATGAAAATTGCTGTTGTGCCCAATCTGTCATTTGTGATTGATAGAGATCATTACAAGTAATTTCCATATTATCTCAAATAGATTTTTGAAGTTCTCTGTAATGCTTGCCTTTCTTTTTTTGATGAGCAAAGCTGTTTGACTCCTTTTTTAAGAGAGTTGAAAGAAGAATGCCACCCTTCCGTTATTTTTCTCTTTCTGAGAGAGTTTCTCAGACACCACTTACCTTTACCCTGAATTATTTTCTTTTTCCAGCAAAATATCGAAATAGTCTTTCGATAGTTAGCATGAAAATTCCAAATCAGTTAGTACACATTTTAAAGAGAAAGGGAGAGAGAGAGGAAAAAAAAATGTAGTTGCCGGGCGGTCTTCTGATAACAGTAAAGAATGGGAAGATCAAATACTTGCATATAAGCAATTACTTTTGGATCAGATAAATGATTTGCTTAGTGAAAGATAGATCTTGATTTTGATTTAAAAGCTGTAACAGCTTGGTTCAACCCAATTTCAAATTCGTTAAAGAGTACATGTGGCTGATTATTCATCTCTCAAAATGATCATATTTTTATTCTTTGTTCTTTTTTCCTCTAATTCAACTCGATTGATTAATTATTATCAATTAGCATAGTGAAATAATTATATCGAATTTATTCGTTCATTTATTTTTCCTATTATCAAGCACGTATGATATTTATTATTAATTTATTCCAGCACCCCCATATCGCCAATCTCCGATATTCTTTTCAAATTACCGCTTTATGGGATGTAACAGAATGAATAGAATCAACGTGGTGGAAGTTTTCTTTCCCATTGAATTTTTTAATTCTAAAAATTCAAAATCCTAATATAATAAATGATATCAGAATACGTTACATGTCAAGCTGCGAATCGATTCACTCAATTACTGCGGAGTCAAATGTCGCCGAGCCCAGTGGAATCAATTTCATTGGTTATTTTTTTTATTGTAATGTAAAGTTCTCTTTTTCAGTTCACTTATCACGATTCCTTCCATTTCTCCAAGGTTACTTTCAATAGTTGAAATGTAAAGGTTCAACTCTAATTTCGAGAAGAATAAGGCTAATCAGGTAATGCAAAAATTCCGTCGGATAGAACTTGAAGTTACATGCAGCTTTTATAATTATTCTATTCTTTCCTTCCACTCAACATTTCAATTGTAATTATATGAATGTCATATGAGCCACTTTATATTAATTATAATGACGGCTTCCTAAATATTAATTTGCTCAAATATTGTTCCATCAGAGGATGTCGGAATTGAAGACCGAAATTGCTTATTCGAATCTCTATCTTCCATTTTCCATGCTAACCCAGAAAAAAGATAGTTATCACGAAAAATGGATCAATCCTGTCTTCCGGAAAATTCTGTGCATGAGCTTTCCTCTCTGGAAAATCTCAGTGAAGTAAAATGGCCCGTATGAATAAAATAAATAAGACATGATTTTCTATATTTGCACCTAGCCATCCCAAAGTTTCACCTCTTTCTGTCGATAAGATTTTATTTGTTCTTAATGTGTCAACAGTATTTCTACGAACATGTCGCATAATTCCCTTTTCTTAAAGTTATATTCCTTTTGAATTTCAAACCTTTTTGAATTCCCTATTCTATTCTGTTCCTTCGTACGACTTTCTCTTCTGCCCATTCAGTGCCGATTTTTCGTTATTTTTGTTTACTAAAAAAGAAAATTAAAAAATTAAAAAAAGAATTTGCATAGTAAAATTAGAATGACTGTTTAAAATTATAAAATTGAGCCAACTTTTTTCACGTTCATAAACTTAACTATCAGTATAATCAGAGAAATCGAAATATGACTGATC